TATCTTACTTTATGCGGCATGAAATAAGTAAAAGTTTACAAATCATTTATGCTTACTATGACATCACATCAGGATTACGAATTCTTTCAACAAAATTCGGTATATCAAAATCGACATTTGTTTACCCAAATTTTACAGTATATTTATCTTACTTTATGCGGCATGAAATGAAGAAAAATTTAAAAATTATTTAAGCTTTCTATAGCATCACATGATAATTGCAAATGTGCATCATTATACGATGTATTTCATTTAATTATGTATGATGTAAATATTTCATATAGCAATATCGTAAAACGAATATTATAGATCTGAAGATATATTTTCATACATATGTTTTTGTAATTCTATAACAAAAAATTTAATCATTCAAATAACCTAAATTTTATATTTTCCTTAATATAAACGTTTTCGCTTTTATAATGTCATAAATGATTATAAAATTGTTCTAAATTTTCAGTAAATTAATTTGTGCATATCGTGATCGTCATACAAGTCTATCTGGGCGCTTTTTTCTTCATCTAATGATAATTTTTGTATAAATTAATACAACGAAATTCATGCACTTCACTTGGGATCTTCCATGGCTGCCAATGATGAATGAGAGAGATGTCATTTAATTGAGGAAATCTGTACCGCTGAGGATGACTCAAAAAAGAGTCGAAACGTTCGTACTGTAATTACATACAATTAAATACTGTACAAAACTTCAGTATTATTCAATCACGCTCCAACAACCGCGTTTATACTCTCTTTGCCTTAATTTTTTATTATTTTATTTCGAGAGTCATAAGGAAATTATAATATTTCTGTTATTAATTTATTAAGTTCTTGCAATAAACTTTTTAACAAAAAGTTTATTGTCTGTTATAACAATATCTTTATTCTTTTTCGCTTGTGCTTATTGGAATTATTAAATACATCACAACGCGGCTTAAGAATCTATTTATTACGCATTACGTAATGTTTATGAATACATTCGAAGGAATGTGTTTCTTGAATTTTTTTTAATCGCAAGGACCGCATTTGTCAGAACTAGTAAGAATTGCCCCGCATTTTTGCCAAGAGAAACAGTTTTTACTTTGGCATTAAATCAGACTGATTATTTACGCCTGTAGACATATATGTTGCAGTTAATTGGAGAAATAAATATGCGAGACGGATGTGCGAGCTCAGGCTGAGCTAGACAAACGGCTCGAGACGGCGAACAATCGCGATTCCTGTCTGTATATAGGTCAGGCCGCATTTCATCGTGGTCGCGTTTGAACGTCCGGATGAGAGCGATCGGTGTTTTGCTAAGTATATATATCACAACGGCAGTGTTATGAGTGTGACAAAAAAAGTGAGCGTAAAGTACAGACAAATACGTTCTCTTTATTCGGATAACGAAAAAAAAAGGAAATAATTGAAAATAAAGAATAGAAAGTCTAAAATAAAAAGAAATAATTATATTCTTATCGCATTGAAATTAAGGAGAGAGAGAGAGAGAGAGAGAGAGAGGGAAAAAAGAAAAAGAATTGAACATTTTTATTTGAAAATTATATGAGAGAAGGGAACGAAAAAATAAATTAAAAGTATTAAAACTTTGATGACGCAAATAAAATCATATTTTTAATCAAATGGATAAAATATTATAATTACAAGTTTTGACATTAATTAATTAATATAAATAATATATATAAAATTAAATTATATATAAAATGTTTTAACTCGAGATTTAAGATCTTGATTTCTTATTTCGTTTTATCACGGAAAATATTTATTAAAGAAAGATTTTGCAATGAAAATGTATAGATAATATGAAAATTGGTGGCGCCTACTTGGCGTCAGGAAGTAGACGCAACGTTTTTTTAATTATCTTACGAAAGAAGTAGTGAATCAGATAGTTGCAACTTGTGCATGTGAAAATAACTAGCATATAATTTGCGTTTTCTCGTGTGAGCGTGCGATCGGAGCGGAAATCGGTTGTGAACGGTTTTTCATCGAGGGAAATAATCGTTCTCGCTTTGCGTTCCGCGTCCGCCCCGCCAGGAATCACGCGCTTCACGCGCTCGGAAGAAGTATACGCATTCGACGACGTAACGCGTTCGACGTCGTAACGGCGTTCGCGAATTATTACGAAACGCTCGGTTGTTATTGCTGCGTCTAATATCGGTTGGACTTAACGAGATACTAGCTCGAGGCGCCTCTCTCAATCCTGGATCGTGCTGCGAAAGCAGTCTTTAACATTGGAACGGCTGAACCGGTCATTTTTACCAGTAAACGTTTTTATCAGCCACAAAGACTATCTTTAAGCGGCAAACAAACTTAATTTTATTCCGATTTGATATATTAATAGTAGAAATTGTAAAAGAAGAAAAACGATTTTTCATGGATTGTACGTCAAATATATAAAATACACGCAAAGAATTTTTCGTAATGGTATGCATTATAAAATACAATTTGATATTTTTTATGAACTATGTATAATACAAAGATTATTTTAAATTGTAACATTATTATATGTTATACCATTAATTACCATATAACCATATTACCGTATAATACCAATAGTATTATTACATCACATATTAGATGAAGATTGTGTAAGTTTTTAATGATCAAATCTATATTCCGATTTATGTGTTTCCCTGCGGCGATTATGTAATTTTTAATTATGTAAATTTTCCACATTATGTGTAGAATCGCGTAGATTATTAATATTAATGAATATAAATGTTCTTCACATGGCGTTCTAGGGTCAAAATTGTCTGATCCGACTCCTTGATCTTTCAACACGTTTTAATTTCAAATTGCATGAAGGAAACCTGCATCAGTCGAGACGGAAATTGAAAAAAGTTTTCTAGAGTTACGTAAATCGCTGTAGACGGAGGAAACGTCGAGAAGCGCATTATGACATCGTATTCGAGTACATCGTGTGTACTCAAGTTTTCGATTGGTCAAGATTATAATGAGCGAGACTGCGTTTTCGTACTTTGATACGCGATATCGTACGATTGGGCGATTAGCATAAACACATATAGGCCCATATCTATGCTTCACATTCAATGCTAAATACATTTAAATATGTATTTTATTCGTTCCATATGAAAAGAAATTTTAACTCTGAAAGAGTCCGATAAATGAATGTTTAGGAAGAATAATTTTTAATCTCAGACACATAATACTTTAATTTTTGGAATTAAATGCGACACCACCAGAAATTTAATATTTTAAATTTTCATTATTTTGTATGAAAAAAAAACTTAATATTAATTTCTCATCTATCGAGATAGATAGAGAGTTGTTGCAGGATATAGTAATAATCGATATATTCGTTAAAATTTTAAAGTCAAATTATAGTCTCATTTAATATCGATTTTTTCGTAATGATCGATAAATTGCTTCTCAATTTTCTTAATCGTTCTATACATTTTAATTCACAGCCGCTTCAATTATGAAGACGATTCGGAAATGCATGTTACACATTTTCGTACAACAAAAAAACGATGCGGTATCAGCTTTACAACTTGTACACAAGTTGCCGTTGATATCGCACGAAAATCGTTCCGAGATATCGTCTACGCGGCGCGCGCGTTTCCATCTCTCATCGCCGAGGATCTTTGCGCGCGGAAATAATTTAGCGCGCTTGTGGTGCTCGTTAGCAGCACACCGCTCGCGGTCATTTTATCTACGCGGCCAGGACCGGCTCTTAGAAGATGGGATGCCGCTTCAAACCCTGAGGGCTTCTTCAAGACCAAACGAAAAATAATTACACGTTCCCCTCTTCCTAAATATATAAATTACACGTTGAATTCAAGAATTATAATAGTAGTAATAATAACATAACGATAATGAGAGCAGCAAAAATTAAAGACCGACACTTAAAAAAAATGATGTATCAACATTATCTTAATTGAAAATAATTTTGTTAATTCAATAACACTATTAATGAGAGAGAAACAAATATTATACTCTCTTATGTTCTTGATTTAATAACATTATTAATGAAACCAATACTTATATTCTCTTGTTTTAATAAAATTTTATTTATTTCATTAATCCTATTGTTAAATCAACAAGATTATTTTTAATTAAAATAATGCTGTTGAAACATCATTTTTTTCAGTGTACAATAATGACAGCTGTATTAATAATTGTAACATAATTAATTGTTGTAGCCAATAACGAGAGATATTAATATTAATATAAGGTGATTACAAGGCATATAATGAAATAGAAATACGTGCATATATGCATATAATACTCGACATGTTCTGTATATACTTGTTTGAGGTTGCAAAATCTAATTAGCGAAGCATTTTTAAATCGGGTTTCTCGCGAGAATTCCAGTCAGACCTACACACGGGGCCCTCACGATCATTCGATCTTATTAGTCGTTACATAGCCGTGTTGGCATCTCTTCCGACGGCTGTTCTATCGTACGATTAATGTTATTACATGACATTGAAATTAATATTCCGATAACACGCGGCGTACTGTGATTCTGGTGTCCAATTAAAAGAAGAGAAAAATTATAACGGAGAATACAGACTTCCTTCAGTGATGATTGCTTAGTTTCTACCTTTGTTAAATGTAACGTATATATCTTCAAGTTAAGACAATGAAAGAATGATTTGTTTACTACACAGAAAGAACGGTTTTGCTAAAGAGTATTTTAAGGTATTATTAATATATCTAAAAATTTAGCTAGATATAAATAAAAAATATTTTGTTACTATCATAATAATTATGTAAAATGTTCAAGTAAATTGTTGCTAAAATGTCAAAACTTTTTGCAGTATGCTCGTTATATTTGAACATTCTACACAATTAATTTAATGTGTCCATCCAACAAAATTATTTTTAGATCTGTATCTAGCTAAACTTTATATATTTCAGTAAAATTGTAATTTCCGTAGGCACACCACTCTTTAAAACATTATTGTTTTAATTATTATTAATTATTATTTATATTATTAATATTTATATAAAATAATTATTATAAAATAATAATAATATATAATAAATAATTATTATTATAAATTATATTAAAATATTATTATAAAATAATTATTATATTTAATCATTATTAATTATTATTAACATCATATTATTAAACAATACTGTTTTACAGTAATAATTAATAAGAAAAGACTTATAAAGTTAATTATGAAATTAAAGGAGAAAAGCGAGTTATAATAAAAATGTTTTCGGATGCATTTTAATTTGTCACGGTTTAATATAATGTATTCTGATACAAACCATGCTCAACGGAGCCTTGACTCAAAATTATGCTGTAAATGACAAGTTTTTTTGGTGTCAGTATCGCGAGTCGAGTATCTGGTGAGCCTCTGAAACAGATCAGTATCGATGTGATCGATATCGATAAAAATATAACATTTAAACAAACGATGTTGCAAAGTGCGCTTATTTAATTAAAAATGATTTTAAACGGAATGGCTTTAAATTTTAAATAATATTCTAAAGTTCCTACGAGACATTAATAGATAGATTTCTTCATATTTATTTTTAGCGTCTGTGTAATTTATCTAATTTCATTCACAATTACATACAAAACATAATTTAACATATTATTTAAAAATATCATGCGTGTATATTAAATTAATAATTTTAGCGTGCATATAAAACGAATCTTTATAAAGTTTTGTAACAATTATCTATTTATTCTTTCTTTAATTGTTACATTTTTATAATTTTAAATTTACATTTTTGCTGATTAAGCTTAAATTAATTTTGTTCCATTGTAATTGATTTTAATTGAAATTATTTCTTGTTCTGGCTTTCTCTCTCACAAAAATCTTCATCACAAGGCCATGCATTTCAAAGTTAAAAACGTGCAATTCTTCACGACGTCAATAATCCTTTCACTTCACAAATCTCACGATCTCACTTACGAGACGAATTTGCCCGCTTTCATGTCGACGATACAGTCGCTGATTTGCGTCTCGACGATCAAGTCCGAGGACTTGTAACCGCTCGGTGACTTGGTCTCCTCTATCCATTGCGAAAACGGGCTATATATTCGGAGGTGGCCGCTGTGGCTGCCAATGACGATGATGTCCTTTCGGTCAACGCCGAACAATGGTGTGATCAGCAAACTGTGTCTATCGAAAGATTCATTCACTCCGCATTGTGTTCTCCACCATTCATTTGTCTTGAACAACGACATTTCCGGAACGCTTCAAGAATTCGGCGACATCGTGACACGGACAAGGACAAACTGCAACTAAACACTAGGGGTTTACACGCCGGTAGTTGCTATTGACAACGCGTCGTCACAACAAGTCAGCGTCTCGAAGCTTGAAGCTAAGGCTAATCAAAGACGCAACAAAATTGCGGTGTAACTCCGCATTATCTAAATATCGTGAACGTCGAAGTATATCCGTATTACAGGTATCAGCAAATTACTGTATACGCAAATAACTGTCTAAATGACGCATGACTTTCCTAAGTTTCAAAACACGGGTCTGTGGTACTTTAAAGAATTATATTTGCTTATTTAGAATATTTAATTTCCGTAGATTCAGCGGCTTATTAAATTTTCTTGACTTAGAGTTTTTAATAACTTTAAAAGCTTTGATCTATTAAAAAAATTTAATTGGTTAAAAATATTCAATTCCCATTCAGCTACCTATTCGCTTTTTTTTTTTGGTTTATAATTTTTAATATTTTCAAAACCTTCGACATTTTAAAAAATTGTAATTGTTTCAAAATATAATTAATTCGCATAAATTTAATAGCATGCTACATTTTCTGGCATATATTTTTTAATATCTTCAAAGCCATTAACACTTCAATAAATTATAATTGGTTAAAGATATTTGTTTCGCACGAATTCAGCGGTCCGCTAAGTTTCTTTAGTTCAGAATTTTTAATAGCTTTATAAAGACAAGAAATCTAACTTGTCTTTTCTATTCTAAATGTTAAATGTAATAATTTAGTGCGATATAATTTGTGTAACAATTCTGTAATAACACTATTCAACATCCGGAAGATTTTTTTGCGCTGAATACAATATATCGTTGGCAGAATATGCATAACAGGATTTCAAATAAAATTGAAGTAAAAACCGATGAGAATAAATAAGTAGTATACGTGGAATCCACGTATTTTACGTGACTAGGTGGATTAAAGATTCATTCACATAATATACATGTGAATGCAACGTTGACATTTCCTTGCCAAATCGAAATCAATTTTCCACAAAATTTCGACGTGGACTCTACGTAAACACTTCAATATGGATTTTAAGACGTAGAATTCATGTGGATTATAGTACCGTTTTCGAGCGGGTTGTCACTCGATTGTTCACGTCGAATCCACATCGAATTCACGTACCTGTTCTCATCGGGAATAGGCCGAAAATGATTATAATTTTCGATCATTTTAAACTTTTTTTTTATGAGAAAACACCTGTTTCTAAATAAAATGTACAACATCGAAAAATACAATTCAAGAGCTTTCAAATAATAATAAATTTTAATTCATAATCGCGTTACTTACGACTTTTTTTCATAGGTACACGCAAAAAAAAGATTGGCTGCTGCAATTTAGATCACACTCCGTAAATGTCTAT